TGGGCCAGCCATGATTATGGCGGCGAGATTCGGCGCGGGTTGTTTTGTCTGATGCGTGTTCGTCGCGAGTTTGGTGAGTTGGCGATCTAGGTTCTCTTCCTCATTTCGGTCGCGCTCTGCTGAGTTATAGAAGACTACGGGTCATTGTTTTAGGATTTCGGAATGTTGAATGATTGTGTTCTGTTGGGAAAAGAAGATTGGAGATGAATTTATTGAAATCAGGATGATGCTTTGGGGTTATGTCCTTGAGATATTGCAATGCTTCTGTTATTTACATGGTGATTAAGCGCTCGTATTGCCTCTAAAAGGGAAAATGTGAGGATACTTCTGCGCCAATGGGCGAGAGTAGTTGATTTGGTTCTTCTTCTTGATAGGGGATGGTTGACGGGATGAATTGATTTAAATTCGAGGGATTCGAGGGTGAAATTTCTTAATGTACTTGATAGAGCCATTGATGGTTGTGCAGAGTTCTGATTTGGGAATGGCATTTTCTCCGTCATGGTTGGAATGTGTTTCCAAGTAAGATGCAGATACTTTCTTAATTGTTCCATTTTCTAGTTGGTTCTGCCAACTGAACTGATACACAGTTTTTGCTAATTGATTGATCAGCTGGACAGAGTTTCTGTGTGATCTTGTCCTGAATGAGTTATTGGGTGAGCTGGATTATGGGTGACTGCTAAATCTTTATACCATGTTTATGAATGCGAAAAAAAATCTGGCGAAATGGAGCAGCCAAACCATGGTCAAATTCAGTTACCGGATTGGTGTCTGTATGGTGGAGGATTATGCATATATGATAGGGAGATTAACTGCACAGACATTTATGGCCAATCCTCAATCGTAACCTGACATTGACTCTACAACCATGCTTATCATGGATGAGCTGCTGTATGTAATTTGGTGGAGATGGTTTTGCTGCACGGCTTGGCTCCACTTGGCCTTTCTCCATATCGGTGTGGTACTCCCTTTGCCCCCAAAACTTGGGCCTTACATATACAGGAATTGAAATACTATAGCCCTAGATTCCCGGTCTCCTATTCTTGCATTGCAAAAGTAAAGGTTCTGTGTGAAAGACAAGATCAACAATGAGACTAGTTTCATCAGCCTATATGAGATGTGAAGGGTTCCGTTTGCAAAAATATAAGAAAATAGAGGGTTCCATTGCAAAAAGTAAAGGATTTTGTGCCTGCTCCTCTTGTCAGGATTTGGGTGTGAACATGATGATCTATGGAGCTCTTTGAAGAGTTCATCGATGTCAGTCAGGTATGCCATGTCATCTTGGTTCAAGAATGACTCATTCTTCTTCCGATTCACTTATTTTCGCCAACTAATAGAGTTATAAACCCTTTGTTGAAGGGAGTGAGAAGACTTGGTGCTGCAGCAGTCAACATGTGCCATATAGCCCTCGGGAATTGCAGAAGCATACTGGGAATACTGTCTAAAGCCATGGGACATGGCTCCCGGGGTTTCCCGTAATGTTCTTCGGCTCACTGATCAACTTCATTTATTTCCTTTATCTACATGTTCTAGATTGGGTCCGCATTCACTTAATGAATATAAATTTCTGTCTCAATTTGATGCAGATCATTGAAGAAGCCGTAGGGGCCGTGACTTGTACGGACGCAGGCAAGTTCTGGGTTTTCGGCAGGTGTGTTTTTGTTTCAAACTGTGTTCTTCACACCAAGGTTCATGAACTGTGACTCTTCTGAGGAAAAAAGATAAACTTTTATTGTATGATTTGGACTGACGTTTCGAGTATTTCATCTGACAGATTGCAGCTCCTGGAAAGGATCAAACCCGCCACTGAGAAACTGAAGGAGGAAGGAATCGATTCCTCGTTATGGTACAAGCCAGAAAATTATCACACAGATCTTTAAATACGTGTCGGATTCGGGTAACTTTATGGCTTTTGTTCAATAATATTATGATCTATGACAATCTTTAGCGTCTCTTCTCATCAATCCATAACTAAAAAAAGCAACGAAAATTGAATTCGAGAAATAGTGTCGTTTTCAGGTCATGAGAACTGATGAACACGGACATAACAGATGTGATTTATGGGAACTGATTCCTCTTTGTTTTTTCAAGCCACTTCTTGAACAGATGCGTCATGGATCATCAGGCCGGTCTTCCACCGTCCGGTCCACACTTCGTACAAACCAAACTGAAGCTTGGTGGCTTGGTCCGATTCCGTCGGAGGAACATTTATTTCGAACTGGCCGTCGGTTTCATCCGGTATGACTGATTCCGACCCGCTCTTTTGAATGATCTGATTAATCGATTTGATCCTTTTCCACATGGTCTTCCCTTTCTTCCCGATTTTCGCCGACATGAAAACCGGAGCTTGATCCCATCCGGTCGCATCCGGTTTGAAGGAAATCTTGAAACTGATTTGGTACTTTTTACCCGGTTTTACGTCAACCGTACCGGTTACCTCCAGCCAGCATGCCATCTTCAGTTCTGCAGGCTTCCTACAACCAAAACCAAGCACCCGTTTCTATCTTAACGTTTGGTATATCATAACCCGGAGTTGGTTATAAATTGGCTTAAACCGGTTGGGCAGAAAATATACTTATATAGGAAGGGAAATATCGAAAGTACCCTTCTTCTTTGGGAATAACCCAATAGCGAGGGTCGCCTCCCCAAATGACGTTGAGTCCTCTCGGCTTGATAATCCTTCTGTCTTGCCCTTCCTGCATTTTACAACAAACTCATAGCTTATTTTTAATTACAAAAAATATTGTAAAATAGCTTATTTTTATTACCAAAAAAAAAAGTTGATGTCATTGAAGGAGACCTAATTGCATTTAGCATAAAATCCCCCCTCCTTTTTTTTTTGTAAAGATAGGGAGTGGACTCTTGATTTTATTAAAATTATTGTACATTTTTTGTCGTCTAAAATTAGGTAAAAATTTATAATTCCGTCACAGATACTATAAAATAATATTAAACTTGCAGAAAGAATGAAATATAGGGAAGAGTTGAGGTGGGGTATGTAAAATTCCCTTGAAATTTCTCGAATACTAATTAATCCAAAATAACAAAGTCCAAAAAAGTATTTTGAATACAATGAAATTTTAGACCAAACTAAAACATACATATATATATATATATATAACTTGCCTTAGTTTCAAAACCGGGTTCTGCTTCATGGTGAGAAGAATCCTTTGTCTTTTGTGGAGCCATTTCTTCTTCCTCTTCTTCTTTCTCTCTCTCTTTTTTTTTTGTCGTAAGTTTTTTTTGTTGGTTAATATTAGAAAACTCTTGTCTCAAATGTGCTTTATATAGAGATCCTCATTTCTACTCTCCTTGAAAGAATGTGATTGAGAAGAATAATAGATAACTACTCGATCCCCAAATTTCTTTCTTTCTTAAGATTCTACACACAAAAAGAAAAAACATTTCTTTTGGCTAATTAATTGCTTGTAAATGCCAACTAGGTATGTAATGTGTAAGTTATTCGGTGTTCTACGTAGTCAACTACGGATATTAATTGAGCCCCTCCAAAAAGGTTCTCTGTGGCCTTGGAAATTTGGAGAATTCAATTAACATGTTCATATTTAGAGATTAGTCTTATTAAAAAAATCCGAATAATGATCTCATTATAAAAAAAAAAGCACATGTATTTGTAATTTGTGCGTGTCGTTTAAACGTGTGTATTTTAGAAACATGCAGATACACACTTTTTTATTCTTCTATTTTTTTTTTGTACGATTTCCGACATGTGTTTGGCAATTATCGCAGTGAAAGAAAATATTAATTGATACCTTGGAGAGAGAAAAAAAAAACAGAGATTCACAGGCAAAGAAAGGCATAAGCATAACGTTTTTTTTTTTTTTTTGCATGGAATAGGATTAAAAAAAATGGTTGACGTTTGACAAAAGCAAAGAACATATGCTCAGCTTGTGGTTCTACGTACATGCATGCACGCACACGATGCCAGAATCCGCAAATAAATTCAAAGGAAACCAAGAGCTAGTGATCTTCATCAAAGCAATATATATATATATATATATATAAAGATGCGACGACCAAATTAACATGTATGTATTGGAATAAGGTTACTTTGGACAGAGACACGTAAAAGGGGTTTGAGTAACGATGAAGGTTTAAATGGGATTGTGACCCTTTCCTTGCTTTTGTATATTCGACTTGTGAACCACTTGACCTAATTGGCCTTTGCTGCGTTCTTCTTTTATATATATATATATATATATATATATATATTCTGTAAATGGAATCTCACTCGTTTTAAAGATGCTCATTTCTAACCGTTCCCTTCCACTGATGCCATTATAGAGAGAGAGAGAGAGAGAGTTTGGTGGAAGAAGAATCTCTCTAAAATTTCATGTCAGAGAGAGATGGAGAAGGTCATCTTCACACTGACAATCTATGTATATTTGAATCTCATACGAGCAATTTCATCAATATCTCTATATCATATATATATATATATGTATTCAAATAGTTGGTACAATCTAGTTGAGATATACACAATCATTGGTCCGTCTATGCTTTCTATTCAATTCCCAATCTTAAACATGCATATATTTTCCAAATTTATTTATTAATTTTGTCGCCTAAAAAATCGAAATTACACCATAATGACCAAAAAAAATCAAAACAAGTCAATGTTTTTTTTTTAGCCACAAGTTGGGTGAAGCTTTCTCGGTTCATAGGGCGTGGCTGTGTTGGAATTGGAAAAGCCCATTTCAAACCGACGAATGTCCAGGCCGTCCAAAAACTGCAAGATGTCCGCCTTCGCTAGGCTCAGGAAATTCTGCCCAGACTTAAAATGCATACCGTTTCTGCTATCTGCTTCCGAACAACCTGCCGTTTTTCACTTCGTAGAACATAACCCAAGAAATGATTCGACATAATATCTCTGTTCCGTACAGAGAGTTTATATGAAATTACCCTTAAAAACGAATCAAAGTCTTCAAATCTCTGATCCACACCCACAAAACTGTCTGCTCCATAAGGATATTTCCTTGACCATTACCATAGATGAAAAACCAGACAGATTAAAAAAAATCTCCACCGTCTTTTTACTTAGTCACAAACTTCCTCCCAATCATCCGCCACGTCTTCATCTCCAACGGATCCACCCACGTGTAGGTCCCCGACTTCTTTCGAGCTGCTGCTTCCACCGACTCCGACCATGGTTTCATCTGCCTTGTGGTCCAAGTTACCAGCAGATACAGAAGTGTTGTCCTTTCCCGACTCCAGAACGCTCCAACGGTTCAGGGTCTCGACCATTGGAGTGTTGCCCTTCGATATCTCCCGAGCTGATGACACGGTGGGAGAATCATCGGGTCCCCATGAATCGTCATGAATCAGAGCTTTCTTCCATGGGTTTCCTCCTCTCTGTCCTTCCCTGCCATGGATTCCCCCCCACGCGTGGCTGGCTTGGGAGCTTTGCCCGACGTTCTGAACAGCCATGGCTCCTTGGTATACAGAACCATGGTCCAACCTTCTCATCGCAGTGGCTGCTCGGGCCGGGTCATGAAACACAGCTACTGCATTCTTGTCATTCAGCCAAACAAGCTCGCATTCACCGCCAAATCTCAAGACCAAGCCACTGATGTTTGCTTCCCTCGGCAGATCAAGAAGCGAAACCACGAGCCTCGGGTCCATATCCACCAATGGGTCGAAAGCTGGCGGGTGGAGAGTGCCTAAAGAGACAGAGCCCTTCACTCCGATGATCCTTGATGGTGGTTTCGACTTTGGTGTGACGTGAATAACTGTGAACCGTCTTGGCTCCCACCCTGCAGTGTTAACCGCAAGTTTCCATCTTTCGGCTATCAATCTGATGGCATCTCGTTTATCCTTCTGCATCGGGCAAAAGACGTGAAGCTTCAGGGCACTTGCATTTCCTCGGCTCTTTCCAAGCACCAAGAACTTGCACCGTTCTTCCACAGCCAGTACCCACTTCGGGTCACGCCGGTAAAGGTCTGAAATGATCTCTGTCATGGCAGGATTCTCGCCGAAATGCAAAGCATCCAAATTCGGGGGAGTGATATCAAATGCATCTTGTAGAACCCGCTTACGGTCCAGCTTAGCACACTCGTCGTCACATGTGAGTTTTCTCTGTCCAAATGGGACTCGGTTTCCACTTGTCTCAACGGGTTGAAGTGGAACAGGAAGCTTTTGCAAGACAGAGGCTTCATAGAGAGAATCGGCACTGAAACCATCCACACTTCTTCCTCCAGCATCACACGGGACAGTAGATGTTATACGACCACAGGAACAAGTAATCGTGACCGGAAATTCACATCTCAGATCCGGGCAAGGAGCAGAAGGATGACAGAGCGCTGCACAAGTGTGCCTGCAATCTCTTTTAGGGGCACCGCATGTCTGCCCACAGGACACACGAACACCTGCTTCGGTTTCATCGCCAGTGTCACAAGGCTCGGGATGACAAGTTCTGGCACAAGCATGCATGCCACATCGTCTGGTTTTCCCGCAGAGTTTGGTACATCGAATGTCCTTCAACCCGCAAGGTATGTTCCTGAGAACCACATGACCACCGATGCACTTCTTCTCCACGGGCACTGAACAAGGCGGGCAATCTCCAAAATGACAGGCATGAGAAGCTGCATGGCCACAAGGCTGAGGAACCGAGCATGGAAACTGGCAGCTCGGTGGAGGCGTTCCGCAAGGTAATGGAGGAGGAATCGAAATTTTTCCACACGCGCACGTCAGATCAGTGAAAATCATCTCAAGGCAAGGAGGGCAGTGGCCACTGTGACATAGAGATTCACAAGAATGTTGCCCACACCTTAGATTCTTACCACACGGAATTTGACAAACGTGTGGATCCCAACCCCGAGGGGTCGGGTCATTCTTCGGGTTCGAGAGAGGGCAGCAACGCTCGCTACACCTATGCCTCCCACAGTTCTTCTTCCGACCACATGGTTTTTCACAGACAAAGTTCTCTGCCTCTGAAGTTGTTTTGTAGCATTCCACAGTCCGAGAAGTCGATCCACATCGACACTTCTGGTTGACCTTGATCAAACAACGTGGGCAATCACCGGCATGGCACACCTCATCGCAACTGTGTAGTCCGCAAGGAAGAAGCTTCCCACAAATGTTGGGACAGGAAGGAATCGGATCCAGACAACTACATCTCTGCTCTTCCAGACCTGTTTTCCCGCAGTAGCATGTCTTAATCATGCTGGGCAACAAGTCACAGTCCCCACAGGGACCAGGATGGCACATCTCACGGCAGTTATGATTACCACATCCAAGAAGTCTTCCACAGGTCAAACTGCATGAGAACACGCCATCTTCTGCCTTCACCACTCCCTTGATGCTCATGTCTCCACAGATGACAACCTCGGCCTTTTTCTTGCAAAAACAAGAAGCATTGACAAGTACCTGACAAGGATCACAGGGTCCAACATGACATGTTCTTTCACATCGGTGGCGCCCACAACCGAGAAGCTTATCGCAGGGCTGCCCGCATGTCGAAACCGATCTCCGCTCCGAGCACCTTGTTGTAATTATCTTCTTACCACAAGGACAATACCGAGGCGGGGCAAATGCCTTACAAGGAGGGCATGGGCCTGGATGGCATTGCAGAACACAAACATGAGGACAATGATACTCTTTGCTTGTCTCAGTCCCTGCAAACTCCTTCTCCAGCAGCTTCCCACATGGTTCTCCACAAGAGTGCGGTGTCAAGTATGGATCAGCAGGCGGGTCTTTCCTCTTCCCGCAAAAGCACCGATAGCTTATCTCCTTTGACGATGTCAACTGTACAGACTGGCAACCTGGGCATCTCCAGTTAAAACCCTGGTCTTTCTCCGCTGCCAGATCAACAGAAGTAGGTGCTCGTGCCCATCTCTTGATACAGTTCAGATGGAAAATCGAGTAACAGCTGGAACAAGACCAGATGTTTGCAGACCGCCTAACCATATCATAACAAATCATACATTCAACAGCGCCCTTCATTAGTTTATCCTCTATTTCTTGCACGAGTTGAGGCAAGTTTGGGTCTTTTGACCTGACCACATCTATGTTATCACCCCTCTCAGTAGCTCTCTCCTGAGTCACGTGTCGGGCAAAGTGACCCCTCGAACCAACTCTCTGGCGATTATCAGGCGGAGGTCCTTGTCTTGAACCATTATTCCTCCTCTGGCGGTGGTGGCGGTTAACAAGAGGAGGACCCAACTCAGTATTCCCGGTATTATGGTTATCGGGTATAAGACCTGGACTGTTGTTCCGCCTCGGCTGATTAACAGGAGAAGGTGCGGAATTGGCATCGAAACTTGAAGAATTTCCATCCGGATTAGAAGCAATCAAGGGCTCATTTACCACCACTGAAGTAGAAGCGCCTCTTGGGACCCATGTTTGACGAGAACCTTGAGGACCAAATCTAGGCCTTTCCCTGCGGTCTCTCCTTACTTGAGAGCTCATCCTCTGTGATTCCAAGCACCCAGAACCAGACCCCGTATCCACAGTCACCGTTGGAACAAACAGCGATCAAATTCAACAGATGAGATCTGTACAGACAAAACCCAGGATAAAGTGTTCAGATTCTAGCTATCAGAATCAATCAAACGGATTAAGCAAAACGTTCCAGCGCCTACAAACCCTTAAAAACAATCCGGAATCAAACTCGAAATGCGAAAATATTAGCCACAGACACAACTGTTACGTTTGATATATGATAGAAGATTGAGATCGAACATCTTAGAACGTTCTTCGTTCTTCAGGAACCCCCCAAAAAAAAGGGCAAAATAAAAGACTACCCTATTTATCATCTCTAACAAAAACTCCGAAATCCACAAAAAAAAAAAGATGGAGTATATAGATAAGGCACAAGCAGATGATCAAAATCTAGAAGCGAAAGAGGAATACCTGGACAGAAAACGCCGAAGAAGAAACAACGACCGAGCTCGGGAGACAATCACAGGAAATCTCGACCCTAGATCCCTTGCCTATCGAATTCTCGGGAGAGAGAGTAATGGGAGAAGATGGAGGGAGAAGAAGGTAGGTATATATAGAAGCGATACGGCCTTGGAGGCAAAGGAAGAAGAGAGAGAGATGCGTCACAGTCCCCGTACCACCTTCCTCTTTCTCCTCTTTTATTTTTTTTATTTTATCTCCCGTGTTTATGACAAGTCAACAAGTTCAGGCTTGGTGCACACTCAAAACCGACTCATTTCGTATGGGCCTATTGGGCCGAATATGAGCCGAGTCTTCATATTTTAAGCCTTCCATACAATTGCACTAACAGGACCATGGGCCACACTTTACACAATTTTGATTTTTATATATTATCAATACACATATGCATATACATACATACACTTTATTATTTAAAAAAAACGCACATAGTAAAATTATTAGAATATTTTTATTTTAAATACCTATACGCAAGGGTTTAACTCAATATTTTATATATATATGTATATATATAATATGTATTTCTCGGACATGGGATAATCATATAAAATTTTAAATATTGCAAGAGGATGGGAATCGATTCAATAATGAGAAACATATGCTGAGTTAATTTATTAATTACGTACTAGGCCTAACGAGCTACTGCTCTGATATGAGCCAGTACCTATAGATTCGTACGGTACAATTATATCTTCTTGCACATATATATATATATACCACATCGACACTTCTGGTTG